ACACTTTCGAACAATCCAGTGTCTTGGATGTTACACATGTACCATGAATTTCTAATTTTAGTTTAAAATATTGAAAAAATTATTTTTCCCAAATTTTTCTTTATATTGAAAAAAAAAAAAAAATTTCTCAAAAATTTTTTCATGATATCAAAATTTTGTAAATTATCAAAATTATTTATTCTGTCAGCTGATTCATGCATTGTCTCTGACTTTATGCAATTGTGCAAAATTTATGATCGATTGGACAGGTCAAATTGTGTCATATATGGATTATATGATTTGTAGACGACAAAATTATTTTCAATTTGTTTTTAATAATAAAAAGAAAATTTTAATTTATAAAATTATTTATTCTGTCAATAGATTCATGCATTGTCTCTAACTTTATGCAAGTGTGCAAAATTTCAGATTGATTAGACAGGCAGAAGTGTATCAAATATCAATAATATTTGTAGCTGACAAAATTATTTTAAATTTTTTTTAATATTGAACAAAAAATGTTTTTAATTCTTAAAATCATTTATTCTGTTAATTGATTCATGCATTGTCTCCAACTTTATGCAAGTGTGCCAAATTTCAGATCGAATGGACAGGTAGAATGTGTGTTAAATATCGATTATAAGATTTGTAGTAGACATAAAACAAAACAACAAGAAGTGAAGTTAAAGAGAAGTGTTGTAATATACATTTAAAAATTCCTTTTCAAAGACAACACTTCCAAAGAATCCAGTGTCTCCAATCTTACAGATGTACAATGAGTTTTTCATTTAATTTTCGAATATTAAAAAAATTAATTTTTTAATTTTTCTAATACATAAAATTTTTTTAATATAAAATTTTCTTCTAAAATATAATTTTTTCTATTTAAAATATTTATTCTGTTAATTGTTTCATGCATTGCCTCTGACTTCACATGAGTGTGCAAAATTTCAGATCAATTAGACAGGTAAAAGTGTGTCAAATATCAGTTATAAGATTTGTAGCTGACAAAATTATTTTTTCCATTTTTCAATCTTGAAAAAAAGTTAATTTTTAAAATCATTTATTTTCACATTTGATTCATGCATTGTCTCCAACTTTACACAAGTGTGCAAAATTTCAGATTGATAGGATAAGTAGAAGTGTATTAAATTTTGATTACAAGATTTGTAGCAGACAAACAACAAGAAGTGAAGTTAAAGAGAAGTGTTGTATAAATGGCGGGAAACCTCTAGTCGCGCTGCTCTGAAGGTAATCTATATAATCCACGCCTATATATACGCTGGGGGAAGTTCAAACTTCAAATGTGGAACTTAATTAATGCAGTAAATTTGTAGTAAGTCAGAAAATAGCAGATTTAGGTAAATATACCTGACGCGGCCTCATGCCAGAGGCTGCAGATGGTTTGCGGAGAATGAAATACAGAATTTGGAATCTTACTGTACTTCTTTTCAGTCCATCTTCACATGATGTGCTTACTTTTGTTTTGTCTATGTGTCACATTGTTGTTTATCCCAGTAACAGGGATCGACGCTTCTTATTCTTTAATCAAAGTTTATGGGAGCCTCTGAAGACTAGTTCAATGTGGCCCCATGACAGGACAGTTTATAAAAAAATTTAAGGAACATTATTTTCAGCTAGGAATTTAGGTGTTCTGAAGAGTTGTCCAATGTTTCTCGAAGGCTGAATGACTACAGAATGGGGCCGCCAAAGTGGAGAGTTCCACGCCAGGGCAGAGAGTCCCACTCCAGGGCAGAGAGTCCCACACCAGGGCAGAGAGTCCCACTCCAGGGCAGAGAGCCCACACCAGGGCAGAGAGTCCACTGGGGGCACTAACCAGTAACCACGAACCCAGGGGTACTAACCACACATGGAGGCACCTTAAAATCTTTGTAACGAAATTTGGCAGTAGATGTCAGGAGCATTTATAGGTGTTCAGGAGTTAAACTTCACTTTAGCTGGTCGTACCATGGCATCCGCCGGCTCAACGCCTCAGAGCGGGACAGCAAGGCATTTTAAAGTTCAAGAAAGATGGTTCCAGAAAGATGACGCAGCAGCCGGCCAAAGCCGGCTACTGTCACGCATAGTGGCAAACCAGAGCTTCTTTAGAATCAGTTCATTTTTAATTTCCTCAATTGCTCAAGATTTTAACCAATTTCTCAAGTATGATAATGCAGGTATCCATGATACTTCACTGGTCTACTTATAGGACTCAATAATGAACTTGAGGGAGAGTCTAAAAAACTCTCTGCTTTGCCACTATGCTGTCACGGGAGATCAGCACAAAGAACCTCTTGCCTCAACGGTTAGAACAGGGCAGGGATTAACTAAACTTCGCTAAGTACACGTAACTTTTCGTACTTATGTTCAAAAAGTTATGTATTGCCTAAGTCAGTCAAAATTTGGCATTAACAAAACTGTCTTACGCAAGACTCATCTGAAAAGGGGTATTATTGCAGATTAACTACATCCAAAAAAAGGGTGTTTTTTTTTTTAATTATATGTTTTTTGGGGTGTAGATTACGAATCTGAAATCCATAATTTGTGTACGTAGCTAGAAAAATGGTTGGCTTGTCAAACTCCACTTAGTTTTGAATCAAAAAGTCATGAAGATATTATTTTAGTGAATGATCATAAAACTCTTAGATACGAATATCAAGATTTGCTTGCAAATTATAGCACAAAAGGAAAAGAAATTAGCTTAACTTAATTGAAATTTTTTCTCAAAAAAGCACCGTTTAGCACGATCAAATATTATGCCTATGTTGAATTATTGACAAAATTCTATCACAATTCACCGTGTTGCGAGTAAATCAATAGTTTTATATTGTTCGGCAGTCGGCACACTCAAAACTTGTACGTAGGCTAACTCCACTTACGACACCTCCGAGCAGGCGTAGAACTATGTACGGCTTCTTGTACGTAGCTTCCCGCGCAAATGTTTTGATAATACCACTGCTAGAGTTACTTCTTCACATCGGCACTTACGCCATACGTAAGTCGCTACGTGTACTTAGCGACGTTTTGATAATCCGGCCCCAGAACGGATTATCAAAATATAATATAATATAAAAATTATCCGGATAATCTAGAACTCTAATCGACGATTCTCTAACCGCCAAAATTTCTAAGTCACCCGGAACGCGACTGTCCGCGTACGCGGATGCAAAAAAAATATTAAACTAAAACTAGTAATAATGCTAATGCTTGGATTTATTCCAGCGCAATACCAGATCTAAAATATTCATACCAGTCACCTGAAAATACCAAATACCAGATTTGCGAAATCTGGTATAGATTTAAACCATCTGAGAACGCTGGTTGAACGTAGAGAAAGAATTACACAAGGCATTGACTGCCCTGATACATTATACGGAGAAACGACCGGCATTTATCAGGCCGATTTTTCATGGTTGAACTATACTAGTTCAACCTTGGAGTTTTAAACCAAGAGCCGTAAACGAAACGCCGTGTAACTCGCAAACGAAGGCAAAATCGAAAAAATTTTCACGAGCTAAACAATTCACCATGGCGTTGGGAGGTTAGATATACGAAGTTTCGTTCAAATCTGTTTAGTATTTGAGAAATTTCTTGCTCACATCGAATTTAAGCACGTATTGCCGTTTAAATCACGAATGTGGGAAAAATAAAAAATAAACGCAAACGAAGGCAAAATCTGAAAAATTGTAACGAGCTACGGTAAACATCACCGTTGTGACGTTAGGTTTGTATATGCAAAGTTTCGTTCAAATCTGTACAGTAGTTTAGAAAAAATTCTTGCTCACTGCCAATTTCGGCACCTATCGACATATAACTCACGAATGAAGGTGAAATTCAAAAGATTTTCACGAGCTAAACATCACAGTTAGGTCCTAATGAACAAGTCTAACAAGTTTCATCGAGCAGCGTTCATTACTTAGGGAGATTTTCCTTGTTCACTGAATTTGGTGATTTATCCGTATTGCGAGACCGGCCGCAAGTCCAGCCGTAAATTCATCAGAGACGTCCTATGGTACCTTGGATATTGCATAATTTTCTGATGATGATAAGGCTATAGCTTGCATTGTAACCTGCGTACAACGGAATGCCGTCAACCAGCCCAGCTCGTCAGAGGAACTGCATGAAACCTGCCGTTCACCATCATTTATCGAACAATGAAAGCTGTATAGTACCTTGAGAAATAGTTTGGTCAGAGTAAAGAAAATAGCAGACAGCGAAAACATGGAACGGGTCGTGCCATGGTCACAGGAAAATTTTCACGGACGAGTAACAGTTTGTCTTCCTAGCTTCTAGCCTGCATATGTTCCCTGAAAGTTCAACGGAAAAAGCGAAGCTTAGGATCGGCTGATGTTGAAGGCTCCATCACCAATCCAGCAATCAATATGCCATCAGCGATTGAAGCTGCTAGTTTAACTACTGCGCGTATGCACCAGACGATTTGCTGATGCATCAATGAGTACAAGAGTAAGACAAGATGAAATACTATAATTTGAACGAATGTAAAGCTATAAATGGTAATTTCGTCATTAGCTAAATTAAACCCCAGAAGTGCTAAATGAGCACAAGATAAACGGACCCCCAAAGACGTGAATTTTGTCCAACATACACCGTGGAAATGACATTTCACGCAGCGCTCAAACTTTACAGTGAATACATAGGGAGTTTATTTCATTTCGGCTCGCTTACACTCGGAGGACAATTGTTTCAGCCGCGATTCTTGATTTGGACAAAAGTTAGAAATCAATTAATTATAACATTCCAAGATCTCAAGCATTCGAACCTCACCACAAATTTGGTTATTCTAACCACACATTTGAACGTTTGCATAACGTTAAATTACATTCATACGTTTTCGAAACAATTCGAATGAAAAAATCGTGGACGCCTGTAAAAATTGCACAAGAAAGTTCGATTAAATCTGACGAAATGCGCAAAAGAACGTCCAGTTGTAGTAAATACGAAGACTAGTCAACATTCAACCAGGTTATTTAATGAGCGCAAGGGTAATGATACAACCACAATATCGGTATCAGAAGATTTACTTCTTGAAGCCTCTGCTTGTTCTGCGGCCACGAGCGCGCTCGAACTTGCGCCCCTTGGAGCGCACGTAAGGGCGAGTGTGGCTGCGCGGCTGACCGGGAGCTGCTCCGAAGTAACGGAACTGCTTGCGAGCTTTGCGACGACCTGCAAGTATAAGGCAATACGTCAATGAGTGAGGTGCAATAAGAGACAATACGTCAATGAGTGAGGTGCAATACGAGACAATACGTCAATGAGTGAGGTGCAATAGGAGACAATACGTCANATTCGTTGCTTCCCAAGAATGCAATACATAAAACATTCAAGTAATACTTTATCTGATCGGAAGCATTTAAATAATACTCCCTTGTGTCAGATAGATTAAACTGGAACTGAGTGGAATTGTTGCATTTGTTACTTCGTATTACTTGGCACTACAATAAAAAATTAGATCCGTACTCATTGAAGTGAGTGACAGAGAGCGCATTTTCTCACGTCCGTCACGGACGGACGGACATGACGAGCACAATAGCGCCTTTTTAGCGTATTTTCTCATTTATTGGAAAAAATGCCCTATTGTGCTCGTCATTTCCGTCTGTCTGTCCGTGACTTCACGTTTTCGTCGTCTAGAAAACGCGCTCTCTGTCGCTCACTGCAATGAGTACCGAGTTATATTTTTTCCATAAATGTGAAAATGCGCTAAAAAGGGCTCCTAATGCACTCTCTCCTTTAACCATAAGTTTCAAAAAATTAACATCCACACAACTAACAACACGTCTACAAAACGTTTTTATTTATTAGTGATATGTATGTCCGAGGATGAGTAGCAATAAAGTAGAATTCCACACTGGATTAAGGATGAAGAGAGCCACTCAAACATAGTGGCAGAACAATATTTTAGTCTCTTCCATTATAAGTCTAGTCAGTATCATGGATACCAGCATTATTACACATTGATATTGAATGAAATTTCGAATAAAATCAGGGAAATAACAATGAGCTACTTTTAAAAAATCTCTAGTTTGACACTATCAACGGCTGCACTAACAACTGTTTTTCCATCATTAAGCCTATTTCCCAAAAGACGACTATCCAATTTTCACTGACCCTGGATGAGGACAGTTCCTTTGCCGGTGGGGCTGCGGGTGGCGAGCTGCTCGAACGTGATCACTTCTCCACCAGCTCCTTCAACGCGGGCGCGAGCGTCGTCCGTAATGCGCAGGCAGCAGATCTGCTCAAAAACTCTTACTCAGAACACGCAACACAAATTTTTATATTCAAATTCCAATTTAATGTTGAAACAATTGAGAATAGTATTTAAAATATTTTGAATATATGTGGAAAATTGTGAACATCAAGAACTATACTCAATTTTTAAATTTCAGTAAGGTAATTTAAAAGTGTTTGATTGAAAACAAAAATATGATTGAGATGACTGACGATGTCAAGAATTCAGAAACGCACTGCCTATAACAAATTTCTATCCAAGTGTTATAATAAATAAATATATTAAGTAATATGCATGACAATTCAAATAATCGCAATTGAAATAAGTGAATATGAGAAATATGATGAATGATAATGCAGTAGGTATCGAGTATTGTTGCCTACTTAATTAACTCTCTCCTAATCCTAGGACTAAATTAATTATCGTTAGCTAAATTAATTATCGTTAGCCAGTAACAGTAAGGCCAGCAAGGCATATGGACGGCCTAAATTTACCTTCAAGTTCTTGGGAATTTCATACATGCGAACATCATTAGTGATGGTGCCCACAACAACACAGGTCTTGCCACGACGTGAACAAGAGTGTAATACAATAGTGTAGTTATGTCATTATTGATGGAAATTGCAAAGAATAACATCTTCACTATGTACACTCACTCACAAATACATTAACCCTTTACGCCCTGGCGTGACGAATTCGTCACACAGAAAAAACTTTGGTTTTTCAACAATTTTACGTTTTCTGTCATTTTTTTGAAAAATTCACAGGAATAAAAAAGTCTTAGATTTATTTTTTACATATGTGTACCAAGTTTCAAAGTTATCTGTCAGTAAGTAACCGAAATTAAATTTCCAATTTCCAATGGCAATGTCCAATTTATTATGGAAATTCTATTTCGGTTAATTACTGACAGATAACTTTGAAACTTGGTACACATATGTAAAAGTTAAATCTAAGACCTTTTTTGTTCGTGGGAATTTTTCCAAAAAAGTGAAAGAAAACATGAAATTCTTAGAAAACTGACAAAAAGGGGGTACTGTAGAAATCTATCACCTCCTATGATTTTTGAGCTACAACATCGAGACGCATATCATTCGATGCGTAAGGACCATATCTATCGATTGGTCCTTGCTGTTTTTCAAAATTCTAATTTTTGTGGGTGGGGTGGGCATTTTTCGAAAAAAATTGGTTTCTCCCTCCCCCCTCTTGAATTTCCCTTCTCTTTTTTCAAAACTATAACGAAAATGAAAAAAAGCTTCAACCAATCTCTAGATCTTTTATTTGCAAATCGAACGGTATATTACTCATTGCTGTAGCTTAAAAACTCTGGGAGGAGATAGGTTTGCAGTGACAATAAGTGTGAATGTTCAGTAGGGCACAACAAAGTCCCGAGCCCCTCAAAATAGGCATTCAAGGTGACATAGATGCAAGACTAGACATTACTGGAGCCGAAATTCAGTTAAGGATGGTGGGAACGACTGCATGAGCACCATCCCACACGACAGCAGCCGGGTAACTAAAGAGCAGCATCTTCAGGTTGTCTATTTATGTGCCCGACCAGTAATTTTCGCCCATATTAAATGTTAAAGAACTTCCCCACCCCTAACCCTTTCAAGAACTGTCGTCAAGGCATAAATCAACGTACAGAGACGATTTTGGTACCGTTGGATAGGTCAGTATGTCAGCTTTGAAGCAAGACTTAAAACCAAAAAAGTGAATTTTACGATTTTCATCCCAGAAATTCAGGGCGTAAAGGGTTAAAAACTGCCTATGATTCAATCCACAAATACAAAACCGACCACTGGTGCAATGAGCTGAGACATACTATCTCCTTTCATTGCGATTAGCCAAACAAAAAACGTAAACAAAGAAGGTAGTAGGGATACCAACCGCACCAGCAACCAATGTGAAACCAACATCAATATAGTCATGTGAAAAAATGAACGATACGAATTCTTCTATATTAAAAATTTATCAGTAACTGACATTCAACAGAAATCAGAATGGTTTAATAACCTTTGTAAATAGTATACATGCATACAGAATCAATCGTGTGCAACAGTGGCGGGAATCTAATGATGGTTAGTGGTTAGTTCTCATTACGCAATCGGTGGCGACGGTGGGTGAGGTAACTACATAACATTACTGCAGATAAAGCTCCCGAACTTTGAGATGATAATTGAGTGAAAACTTTACGTGACATATTGTGAGCCTTCTAAAATTTTAATAATGAAGAAATCACAAGGTTCAGAGAATCTAAAGGTTTAAATGCTCAATTTTTGACTTTCGAGTACTCTATTGACTATTGATTCTATTCTAGTCAGTCAACTGTGAAGTGTCATGTTGTTTGTTGTGCATTGCCTTTTCTTCAAGAAGTTTCACCAACTGCTGATGAGTTTCTCCTCAATTTGAAAGCTGAGGTAATGAATAGGTGTCATAAATGTTTTTTATATTTAATTTGAAACTTATGTTGGGAGTAAATAGTATTTCCTTCTGTAGATCCATCCCTCTTGCTCATCTGTGAGTGATGCAGCTTGACGCAGGCAATTAAGTGAATTAACAATCTTGCATGGGACCTTCTCTGTGCCTGACTTGACATTCATACGATCATAGCTACCGTAACCGAAGCCGATTTCTGACGGCCTACAAACTTGTTTCTAGTTGCCTGGAACGTTTTTTTTTTAATGGCAGAACGCTTTTTTTATGTGAACCACAAATTTTAGAATTCCAGCCTGCTTACTAGTACTGGCAAATAGCAATTCAGGTTTGAATAAAAATTGACATTGAGAATTGATAGGTACTTAGGCTAGGCTAAATTGAGCAACTGAAAGTATGGGACAACATTAATAAGACTAGGTATTACAGCATTAGACTAACAGTAACATACCTAAGTAGGTACCTACTAGGGTAAACGCGGTATATTCCGACACTTTAAGGACGCATCGAGAAATGAAAAACTATAAAAAAAAACGTATGCGTTACGTAAGTTCTGTTGCCTTCACATGACTCTCAAAACACTTCACTACGCGTCAGCAACGATGAAATGTCACAAAATGTTGCCATATTCATTAAAAAGCCTTTAGAATGGAAACCTACCAAATCCCTATATTCCGTCACTTTGTGTGGCAACATCCGACACGTGGTGAGTCGTATTGCGTCAGCGCTTCAAATTTAACTGATCCGTATTGCCGACATCCACATGTTTGAATTCCGTTTGCTGTGTGAGCTGTATTGGGATACAACACGGCTTTGAATTAGAACACTAACGAATATTGAACACTACTTAATTACGTTTTAATTAACAGCTGTTAGGCTTTTAATTAAGCAAATTTCATTTTTTGTACAAAGCTTTGAACGATCTGTGTGTGTCCAATTCAAGTTGTGTCGGAATTAGTTTTCATGTGTCGAAATCCAACATCTCAACTTAATCATCTATTAATTTATTAACGACTTGAAATCAGTGAATACAAGTATACTTAAAGGATTCCTAATATATTCACAGACGTATTTAAAAGTCTCAAACC